AGGAACAGCTAAATTGAAGGGAATTATGTGTGACTTCCAAGCTCAATGGGCAGAGAATTTCTTAGAGCTACGGTACTATAAGGCATATGCTTGCTGGGCAGCCTCTTGAGCTCAGCATAAGACTAAATGGCCAAAATTGTAGATACCAAAACTCAGCAAGCATATAGACAGACAATGACATGCCAAGAGCTGGCTTTAGGATGGTATCCAAACCTCTGTTTCAGAAGCCACAGTAGTGCCTGGTTAGAACTCTGGTTTAACCAGCTCTTAAAACTTTATGTTACAGAAATTTAGAAACCTTTGTTCAAATGGGTACCTTTCAATATACAAAATTTGGAATCTGACAGATTGCAAAGTGGGTAATTGCTCTGTTTTCAGGCCAATCAGGGGAAATATGAAGGAAACAGTGAAAGGCCAACCTAAGATTGTATCCCCCCCACCTCACTCTCAATAGAGGGCGGAGAGGGCCAGCCTGGCCCTAGCCCACAGTGTTGGCAGCCCACACACAGAACTAAAATTCAGTATCCCAGAGAAGCAGAGATGCTGCTGCTAGCTTTGGAGCAGGCTTGAGCTACTCTCTCCAGCAAACATTGTCCCAGCCAAGCTAGTTTCCTCATTCATACAATGGGTAAAAGGTTTTCTTCCTTGCTGGGTGCCTGTAAACCTAACTACTAAGGAGGCTGAGATATGAGGATCTCGGTATGAAGCCAGCCTGGGCAGGAAAGTCTGTAAGACTCCTATCTCCAATTAACCACCAGAAAACTGGAAGTGGAGCTATGGCTCAAATAGCAGAGCACTAGCCTTAAGCAAAAAGCTCAGGGACAGTGCCAAGGCCCGAGTTCAAGCCCTAGAAATGGCACAGGCATGAGTGAACACACACATACAGACACAGACACACAGACACAGACACACAGACACAGACACACACACAGACACACACACACAGACACACACACACACACACATTCTCTCTCTGTCTCTGTCTCTCCAGGCTTTCTTCCTTACTAGTAGATGGTTAAGATCAGGAGAAAGAATATGAAATCATCTGGTAATCTGGGCCATCTGACTAAACACAGGGTGTAGTTTTGATGGGGTGCCACCTCTGCTGACTCTAACTGAATGAACTGCTTCCTCAGCCCTTCTCAAGTCTTGGAGAGGAGGACTTTCCACTCCTCATCCAAGAGGACAAAAGCAGGGGACCTTGAGTTTATTTTGCCTTGTCTCCCCAGCCCTGTTGGGAGCAGTGAGGTTCTCTCTTTGAGTCTAGAAAGGAACTGAGCATGTTCCCTCCTTCCTTCCAGCTCCTTCCTAGGCTAGCAGCTCCTCCACCATTGTCCACTTACCCCGTGTGGAATAACTCTGTCTTTCAAAGATTTAGGCAATGCTTTAACAACCGTTTAGCCTCAAGTCTAGTGTAACATTCTCCTTTTAGTCTTATTTTAAAAAGTTGGCATTTAAAAATCTCATTTGTTTCTCTCCTGGATCTTATTTCTCAATCTGGGGAGAAGAATTGTTTCATAATGCTTCTCCAAACCTAAATATTTTTCAAGGTAAGAATAGACATTTGCAAGTTCCTTGATACCTTTAAACTATTCAAATAAACCATCCATGATACAGATGCAGAGGCTAACTAAAAATCCAGTTATTTTGTTCACTGTCAGCTCCAGGTAACATAGTATATGTCTGCTGTAGCAAACAAATGAACTGTAGTGAGTTTGGCTTGTTGACAAAGTATCTTTTAATAAAGGCTCCAACTTGAGACTGTGTACAGTGGTCCTGATCAGTGGAGAGATGTTCCCTCTGTGGGTCCTCAGAACACTGAGCTCACCTCTCACATTGCCCTGTGTCTGTCTCCATCATGCCCTATGAGGGTGAAGACAGAGTTATTTATCTTAGATATGTATATAGATTAAGAAATGTATAATCAAATGGGGAGAGATGGTCCCAGTCTGAAGCAGAAGGCAAGAGAGCACCTTTTCTTTCTAGCAGTGGTCACCCCTGCCTTGATGCCAAGCTCCCTTCTTGCCAGTCCTCACTACAGAGCTTCATGGGGCAGCTAACTGATCTTTGTGTTTTCTTTTTTCTTATTTATTTTGATGTAGCTAAGTGTTCTTAAAGAAGGAAACCTACAGAAATAGAAAGCCAATGGAAAGATATTTCTAAGGTTAGTACACATGCCCTGGCTAGGTGAATTAGTTTCTGGGACATACCAACATAAACAGATGTATGGAATAGCAGAAGTCTGCTTCGGGAAGGAGCCGGTGTAGGCCCCAGTCATGACTGTCCTGGTGACATAACCTGGGCAAATCCTTGCAGGGCTGAGCTCTGAGTTCTGAGTTCCAGCTCTGGGCCCATAAAATAGGGCTAATGATTCCTTTTCTCAAAAGTCTATGACAGAGATGACACAGATATTACGGTGTGTGTGTGGTCTATTCTTTCTCCAAAGAGAGTATGTATCACTAGGGCTTTATGAATGGCTTTGGTGAGCCACAGATGAACATTTAAAAATTTTTATGTGCTTACAAAGAAATTGCACTAGTATACTAAACCTATAATTTTACCAATTGCTTAATAAAAGGCTAAAGATGGTATGTATGGTGGGTTCGAGTCTGTTTAAAGAAAACTATCAACTAACCAAAAATAGTGCAGATGGCAGAAGAGTACGGAAGATATTTTTGAACTAGAATTCAAAGGTCTATTGTTTGGAAAGATTACCAAGTCCCTAAAACTCATGCCTACCTACCCCAGTAGGCTCTACCTGCTGTGACCAGTGGCCTATCAAACCTGGTGCCTGGGGAAAGGCTGAAGGACAACCTACCACCCAGGGGGCAAAGCTAGAAAGAGTTAAAAGAAAGGGGTCTGAGCTTCCCTGGCCCATCCCCCACAGCTAATCTGTCACCTAATGAAGAGGCCGGCACAAGTGAGCTAGCTGGCAGTTCACTTACAGCAAACTGATTAAGAATGTTCAACCAACAGCAGACTGTAGACCTTTCCAGAGAAAATAAATAGAGTGTAGACTGTATGCAAATGTGTTTGTCACTTTGACAGCACGTCTCAATTAAGGCATCTCTCGGCTGTGGGTAGGCTCTGTGGTTGCAGCTGGAAGGGAGAGCCCGCTGCATGGCTGATACTAGGGGCTTGACCTTAATCCGCATGCATGCATTAAAAAAAAATCCTGCCTTCTTGTACACTTGCATAATGCTGGCAGCCACGTGAGGGAAGTGACAAACGGGGTGTATGGGGGGGGAAGCCACTTTCATCCTCTCCAGTTTGCAGACCTGTGAAGGCACAGACAGCTCTTATTTCAACAGAGTTTGGGGTGGCTTTTTTAATTGTTTATCCCCCACCCGTATGTGCACACACAGTTTTATTCTGCATTTAGCTGGGAATGACATTAAAGCATCTCTACTTCTTGCTGAAATGGAAAGAAGGTCTTTCTCCATTTCAAATAGGGCCTCCTTTTTTTTTGTGTTTCGAAAAATGGAATGTTTAACACCATGAAATCCCTCTCCCCCGCCCCCTCTTTCTCTGTAATGGGCTCCAAACTCCAGCGAGGGGCTTCTTTCATGGGCAGGTTGGTGTGTGTAGGAATGAGGACAAAGGAAAGCAGGAAGCTGACTCTGGAATGCCATGCTGGTGACAGCCAGGGTTGTGCTTTCAGCAAAAGCAGCCAGGAACAGGGGTGTGGATCTCTCCAACAGGGCCTAAGCCGGGGAGGAAGCGGCTCTTCAGGGGTGAGAACACGGGTCCAGTTTGAAGATGATCATTAGCCAAATGAGTACCACCCTGTTCACACTACTTTCTTGTGCTACATTTCAATTTCTACAACATCCCTTTCAAGTATAAAATCAGAAAAGGGGGTGAGTTTCCCCAAGTTACAGATGTATGAACAAAATATGAGACATAGAGGAAAATGATTTTCATGTTCCAATCAATTCACATCTTACAGTAAGAACGTACTGCAGCAATTTCATCAGTTCATTTCCAAACAGCTCAATGTCTGGTACATAGTAGGCATTTGATAAACCTGCCAAAATCAGTAATTTTCTAAATGTACGATTCTGGGTCCTTTATGTGGTTGAAATCACATTTGAAGTGAAAATCATACAAACCAGTTTAATCATGCCTCATTGACAAATGATTAAGAGAATCAGGTGATTCAAAAAGAAATAACTTTGCAAGAACTGGCAAGTGTACAAGGCCCTGGGTTTGATCCCCAACACAGCTAAAACCAAAGGCCCAACCAAAGAAAAAATCACAAATGGATTTGTACACTAAACTTTACCAACTGAGCCATTTGCCATAAACACAGAAAAATTATAATGTCTAATAACAGAGGAGATGACTGATAAGAAGGACGACTACATAACCTTTTCAACCAAAAATTTAACCACAATACAGATTTTGGTTTCTGTACAGAGCACGATGTGTTACTTCAGGGGGAAATAAACCCCCAAAGTACGGACAGTTTTTCAAATGCTGAGGTCTTTTCAAACCGTTGGGTAAGAACTGGATCTATGGAACCACAGTGAGGGTGCTTACTCTGAGAAGCACGACTCTGGATATTGATTTTCAGGAAGTATATTAATAAAGAACTCGTAATTGATTTTTTTAATAAGACTTTGCTTGTTGCCTTTTATTTGAAAGTGCAAAGAAGGGCCTGGGATGCTAAAGTGTTCTAATGAGATGCTTAGCTGACAGGCACCTTAAAGGCAGTGTCTGGGAGTGAGGGTGGCAGCAGCTACATTTAATCACTCCAGTCAACAGAGGGGCTAGTTGATGTCCAGAGCTATCCTGTCTCCTGAAAGTTTTGCAAATCATCTTCAAAACACATTTGCAGCACATAAACATTTGACGACGTGAGAAACTCTCTGGAGCTGCTTTGCTAAGGAAGGCTGGAATGGGAAATTGCTGCATGTGCTACAGCTTCTGTTACAAACAAAACAACTGCGGTCCCCTCACTCCCCCACTCAAAACTCATACCGGCCCAGGGTACATACCTGCCCAAAGTGGACTGTGATTGGCCTCCGGTCTTCTCGCAGCTTGGGGTCCTTGGCTTCCACCAGTGGGGAAGGTGCAGCCCTGGGCAGTGACTCTTCTGTAGTGGGGACACAGCCATTCTCCGTGATGTCCTGTAGGAAGGATGATGGTTTAGGGTTGATGGTGGTGTGGCATCAGTGTCCTCTCATAACCCATAACCCCCCCAGCCAACGACCTCTCTCCTGGGACATTCTTAGCCTGACCTCCTGGGGGAAATGAAAGCGATGGAAGCTAACTTGGTCCTTTAACTTTCAAGGACTAGAGAAGCCAAAATGTAAAGGTAATATAATAATTTACAAGAGTGAAAAAAGAACCACCTTCATATTATCTCATATAGCTATTTTCATTTTACATATTCACTTTGTTTATATGCAGACATTTAAAATTTACTTGCAATCATAGCTCATGCATAATTTTATTTCCTGATTTTTTCCAATGTAAGCATCACCATGGAGCTACAGTAATTATAATAATAATTTTAATGGATGCATAATATTTTTGAGCAGGCATGTAATTTAATGAATAATCCTATTACTATTGGGTTTTTGTTTCTATTTTTAAACTTTCTAAATATATATTACAGTCTTTCTTTTTAAATTTATTTCTATAGAAATCCTTAGAAATGAAATTACTAGGTCAAAAGATAAAAATCTTTTTTTAAGGCTTTATATTCATTTTTACCAAATTGCTTTCCAATTTACACCAACTATCTACAATAGATGCGCTACAGTTTCACAGTACTTGTTAGTCTCATCATTTTAAAAATGTATCGCTAATTTAATAGGTGAAAAATTAGACCTCATTGTTGTTTTAATTTGCATCACTTTGGTTATTTGCGAGTGTGGACATTTTCCTACATTTGTTTGCTGATGATGTTACTGTTTGTGAAAATGTGTGCTCATGTCCCCCCTTTTCTACCTCCTCACTCTTCCTGAATTCTGAGCTAAGCCTCCTTGACTTGGGAAAACTTTGGGGAATCCAAAAACATATTGTTAAATCCAAAAATTTGTACATCCGATTAATGAATCCAGTTCTACGGAAAAGAAAAACCCTAAGGTGCCAACTGGCTCCCGTGGCTAGCACCTGCAGCCGAGTCACACAGGGTTGTTTGGAACATCGATGTGGCCCAGTCATGCCATAAGCAGTGTGGGTTTTAGTCAGGTCAAGAAAGCTGCTTAAATCTTCACTAGTTAAGACTCAGAATAAATATATAAACAGACAACATTTAATCATTTTCACCATGTAAAAATAACTCACATCCTGAATTGAATAGCAAATGAAATTTCTAATTCCTTTCATTGTATGAACAAAAGTACATTTTCGCTGACAGAACATATACTTTTAATATCCATTAAATTCTGCACAATAGGAGACTTTTGATAATGGGTCTCCTTTAACTTCTCAGCTGAATAGAAACAGTGGTGGCAGCACATGAGGGAAAATGGTTGTGTACTGAATAACTAGGCTAAAGGGGAAATATATATAACACCTCAGAGCCTCAGATTCTTTATCTGTGAAATGGGAATATGGTACTTGTGAAAATTAATGGAGATAAGTAATTCAATACAAGTGGATAGAATATTATTAGCTACTCAATAAACAATAGCAATCACATTCCCCCATTATGTATATGTATTTGACCTCACATATCCAGCTGTCTACCACCAGTCCTCCTTTCCTAAGGAATTGGCTGCCTGTAGAGGCCAGCCTTGAGAAGTCTCTCTGCTTGGGACATGACACAGGTGATGACCTCTCTTGCTTTATGGGGAGGGCTTGGCCCATATTACATCAGTCAGGTTCAGCCAGGCTAAGACTCAATGATGAAAGAGGCTGCCGACAGCCAATTAGAAATGGTTTGTTTGGAAAGGGGCTGCTCTAAGGAGCTCAGGTCAAGTGGAACAAAGAGGAGAGGAGCTTCTTGTGCACCAGAAAGCAACGAAGGGCAAAAGGGGCATTTTGGAACCAGGTGGGAGCACCTAGAGGATTAACATAGAGTTTTAGTAAGTTCAAACAATAAAACATTCACTTCTGGTTCAGAAAACAAATATTGAACACTGCATGTGTGTGGCTGAAAAAATGTTAACATGTTAAGAAAGTGTATTAACTGTAAAACTATAAGATAATAGGTATTTAAAAACATGCATATATGTAGTTTTGGAAAAATTATCTTAGTCTAAGCTATCTTCCTAGTTTTATTTATACTACTGACTAGCTGCTTGCTCTCATTCACCCAAACTCTCTGCAATGATTTCTTCCTCTTTACACGAGGAGGCTACCAGTGGCTTGGCAAACTTCAGTGCCACTGGAAGAATTGATTAAATGAGATATAAGGAAGCTTTGAAAAACATCCTAGCACTGTACAAAGGGAATGTTGGATCCTCATCCCCTGCAAAGGGCAGACAGCTTCCCTAGGTGGAGTGCATGCCCCCAGCAGGAACTCTTCCAAACCCATGACCTTTACTCACACTTGGTTCCCACAATGATTACTTGGTAAACAGAGAGGAAACAGGGGCAAAGAGAGGATAACTTATCCAAGGCCACAAAGCTAGAAAGTGGAGGAACCTACAATGATTGCATGCAAGAGTACGGTGTCCCAAATTGAGGGGGCCTCACCCCACCATCTGGAGGAGGATGAACGACTGATCACAGGCTGCCATGCCATTTAGCTGTCTCTCCTATAGACTATGAATTCTTGGGGTCTGGGTTCTCTTGAATCTAGCACATGCTTTCTTTTTTTTTTTGGGTCCGGTCGTGGGGCCTGAACTCTGGACCTGGGCGCTGTTCCTCAGCTCTTCAGCTCAAGGCTAGCGCTCTACCACTTGAGCCACAGCGCCACTTCCAGCTTTTTTCTTTTTGCTTATGTGGTGCTGAGGAATGGAACCCAGGGCCTCAGGCATGCAAGGCAAGCGCTCTACCACTGAGCCACCTTCCCAGCCCTAGCACATGCTTTCTAATAAATCTTTGTAAATTTAAGCTGAACATTTGGAAGGCAAATGTATCCAATATACAAATGTGCCTGATTGTCAAAAAGCCACATTCATTTTATTTAGCTAGCTTATTCAGAGATGCAAGCGATTTCTAACCAAATCTTGTGGGCTCACCCCACCAATCTCTGACCTTTCAATTTCTTCACTATTTCCTCCAGTGGGGAAGGACAGCAGCTTCCTCTCAGGAGACTATAGGAAGCAGAGCAGGGCCTGGAGCCAAGAAAGCCACAGGAATAGTGCTCCTCTGTCCTACTGACAGTGATCTTACACATAGTAAGAAGTCAGTTCCTACAACTTTGGACTCCCTTATTAAAGAAACTGTGGCCTCACAACTAACGAAGAGATTAGCCAAGGGCCTGGGAAAGGGTGTTCTCGTACCCTTCTGCAAACTGGCAATTTACATGTAAAACCCGAAAGAGGTATATGCCCTTTGGCTCATTAAAAATGAGAGGAAAAAAAAGACTCTGCAAAGTCTTGCTTACAGGGTATTTGTCTAACACTGGAACTAATTTAGGTGTCCAACAATGAGATGTATTAAATGTATACATGGCCATCAGATAAAATTATATGTAGTCATTCAAAACAATAACACGTGGAAGAAACATTTAGTAGCCCAGAATATGTTCAGGATATACTATATGAAAAATACTATATGAAAATTCAGACTATCAAAAGAGATTATTTTATGTTTAGTTCTCTTATTTGTTGAATATTCCCTGATGCTTTGTTTGCAAAAAATTGACCTTCTAAATGTCATTTTTCAAAAGCAAAAACAAGAGGCTGTTAGAAGGGGTAAGATGATGATTCCTTCCTTCCTGAAGGGTCACATAGGAGGAACACTGGACAGAGCCAGAGATCAGAGCCCACTGCAGGTGGCAAACTTGCCAGGATCCTCCAGGCTCAAAGCACTGGCGCTTTTCCAGTCCTCCTCCCTCTGCAGAGAAAAGGAGGCAGAAAACACTGCCATTGCTATCACCTTCCCTGAGTATTACCTGGAATAAAAAATCCTGACAGAGCTCAACTCCACCTCTCTGTGGAGTAGACAGGCACAGCATATGATATACACTTGGTTCAAGCAAGGCAGGGAGGCAGGAATCAGGTTTGGGGAGGCAGGAGGCCAGAGAGGGTCAGGCTTTCTGAGACAGAGACCTGAGGGGTAGCAGCCTGCCTGGATGCTGAGTTTAGCAAGGTCAGAAAGGTTTTATCCCAGGGAGTGACTGGTCAGAGCTGTGGTGCTTGGGAAGTTCCAAAGTGTGGCTGTTCTAGAGGTGGGGCATGCGCAAACCAACAGAATGAAAACTCATTTATGGAGTGGCTCCTCACTATCGCTATTTAAATGCATGTCCTCTTCTAATCCTTATGACAATCCAGTAAAAATCTGTTTTTTCTCATTTATGGGTGAGGAAAACTACGTTTGAAAGGTCTAGTAACTCGATCAGGGCCACATAGATAACATCTTGCACAACCAACGCTGAACCCAGCTCATTTGACTCAGAGGCCCAAACACCAAAGCCCTAATGAAGGGGAGTTTTTTAAAAGGCCCCATGGGTGTGAAGATTTTTTCTGTCTCTGGTGGGGAACTACCTATCTCCACTCTGAGATCTGTGCAGTGTTTTTCATTTCCTAGCTTACCTCCCACCACAGCAAATGTAAATTAAATGATGAATATTGATATCAAACTAGTAGCCAAAGTTGGAGAGTCTGTGATTGAGGCTGCCGCATATTTTAATGTGTCTGGAGACAGGGAGCTGACAGTTGTGTGAAAAGGTGTGAAAATGTCTGTTCTCTAAGAGTCTACCTGGCTCTCCCCTCCTTGCTTGCTCACTCTCTTCAATGCACTTGGAAATGTTTGGCCAGAAACTAAAGCCAACTGTGAATTTGTTCCTTTCAATCATAGACACTCTAAACAAGCTTGATTTGTTTTTCAAAGATCAAACACTTAGAACTTTACAAAGGGTTAGGAAATGGATGTTTGGTTGACATATTTTAATAAACAAAGGAAAAGGATAAAAAATGTCAGGCATTCCTCAAGGGCACAAAATAACATCCTATGGAAGTATCTGAATGTTCAACTCAGGTTAGAAGGAAGTCTGTGTAGCCACTGCTTTTAAAACAGGGCATTCTTGTGCCAACCTGGCACAGAGCAGCAGTGGAATTTGCAATTTGTTGGCATTTTTTCTGCAGGTCATGCCTAACAGGGACATGACCAGGGAGGTGCCACCGCCTCCCTTGGGAAGCATCAGCTGCGTAGCATGTTTGCCATTTCTTCTTCCCAATTTTGAGCAAGTCAGACTTCAAAGGAGCATAGGCTATAGAAGAACTTGACCACCTTGCTCCATTTACCCAGAGAAATATGTTCTCCATCTTTCTTTTTTTGTTGCTGGCTGAAGCAGAGCAGGTGGAATAAAGCCACACTATAGGATCTATGAACAATTATTTGCCAATGGTCACACAGATATCCTGAAAGCTCCTCTTTCAGAGGCTTTGAAAATTGGCAGCACAAATGAACAAGGGACAGAGAAAGGGCCCTGCTCAGTCATATTAGAGATGGACCCTCCATACACCGTGATGACCTCTCCACAGGTCAGTCCCACATTTTCTATTTGCAATTCAAACCCAAGGCAAGAGCAAAGGGGGCAAGATTGGGTTCTTGATTATATCTGCGAGGTCACCATTGCTATGCAGAGTTAGAGGAGGCCAGGTGGCAACCCAGTACATTTGAAAATTGGATCTTTGTTGGGAGCTGCTTCGATTTCATAGCAGAAACCAAACTTGAGGTGTCTGTATTAAGATGTGTTTAGGGAGGCACATAGATAGGTTCTGTGTAGAGGGGAGGGGGCAGGAGGGTAGAGAAAGAAAAAAAAAAGAGGCAAGGAAATATTTTCCACTGCAGTGAGAAAGGTCAGGTGAAGCCAAGTCCTAAATTAGCTCAAGAAAGGAAGCCAGAGAGCGCCCGAGACCCAGGACCTGAATGTACTGAACAATGCTAGAGTTTCAATTACAAAATAGCTCTTCCAAGAACAACTGCAAAATATCATGTCTGTGGAAATCTGTAAGACCGAAGAGGGGAAAAGTGAAAATTGAAAAGGGTGCACTAATAGATCTGTCAACAGTCCAATGGTGACAAGCCACATTTCTATAAAATGCCTTCACCGTTTGTGTCACCTGAAATGTACTGACACTCTCTATAGAACATTAGCTCACGAAGCTGTTCTTGAAAAGACTGGCAGGGGGGAGAAAAGGGAGGGGGAAAATCAGCTTTAGATACTATCAAGGAAGGGAGAAGGAGGTGGTGTGGAAGGAACTTGATCTAGATTGTTTAAATGAACGTGTAACATTAAAAAGGCTGTGCTTGCTGGTTGGGGGCAAGGACAGGTATCATAGAGCAGGGATATTCTGAAGGCTAGAGGCTTGTGCCTTTGAACAGGATGGTGAAAAGATGTCTCCAGTTTTCTGTATGGCAGAAGGAAATGGGAGCCATTGACCTTGTCTGTGCAGGGGCCTGAGGAGGTTCCTATCTTTGCTTAGTTTAGGTGCCACTCTAACCAACCAAAGGCTGGACAGCAAGGAGGGAAAAGCCCCCTTCCTGCAGCTCAGTATCTGCAATCCAATTCAGCTACATGTGATTAGGACTGAAGATAAAAAAGGATCTTTAGCAACTCAACACCCAAGTAAAGAATTCCACCTGGTAGCCTCTGGCAATGTGCAACAGACTGCAGTTGCAGGCTGCCTGGATTTATGTTACAGGATGATGTGCATCCTAGCTGTTAAGAACTCACTGTTGGCTGAAACTAGGAATTTAAGTGCTTAGTCAGAGCAAATTATTTTCCAATTAAAAGGAAGGAATCAATTCCTTCGACCCATTTCAAGTTAATTAGAGGTCTTTTCTGACTTATAAAATTGAAACTGCTTTCAATTAAAAAAAAAAAAACAACAACTGCCAAGATAGACAAAGGGCCTTTTTAGAGTGGTACATTTAGGGGTGTGGGGATAATGAAGTAAGTGATCCTAGACATCTTTTGGAAAACAAAACACTTGTTTAAGGAAGGCAGTGCCAAGTATGTAGTGGTAAGCGCTCTGCCATTGGAAGTCAGCAGATCTGGAATCTAATCCTGCCTGTGCCAGGCTTACACAGTGTGGTCTTGGGCAAATTACTTCACCTCTGAACCACAGTCTCTTTACTCCTGAAATGAGAATAACACTACAGGGTTGTTCTAAGGATTAAACGTGAATACTCCTAGCCTGGACTATCTTTAACAAGTACTTAACAAGGGGTGGCAGCAGTAATAACTGTGATCATGTTGGAAACGTATCAAAAACCCTTGTCTGTTGCAATAACCTCACTGTATACTCAAGTCTCAGGCTGGGGGGGATTCTCGTCAGGAAGCAGCCAGTGTGACCTCAGACAACTTTTCAAATGGTCTATGGAAACAATCAGAGCCTCTCTTTCCCTGCACGGAATCTTCAACATAAACTGCTGGGCCTCTCCTGTTTAATGGGCATGGTGGGAAAGCTACACCATCCTCATCCTGCCATCCTTTGTGCATATCTGCCTGGGGCTCGTGTGCTTGCTGAGACCAGCACAGTTCTGTCCCTGGAGATGCTTCTTGGCTTGGTTTATGAACAGCCCTTCGGTTGAGGGTGGCAGCAGGAAGGGGACAGTGTCAGGAAAGAGGGACCAAGCCAATTTTTTCCTACACCTGTAAACCCCAGGCCTGGTGGGGAGGGGAAGGGACAGACCAACAGTGGTAACTCTGAACTTTCTTGCCTTTGTGGGTTTAAGCCAGAGTCTTAATGTTATTTGAAGACAGTTTTTTGTCTGTGAATATTTATAACAGTGTGAAAACCCCCGGACAGCTGGTAATGCATTTTGAAGTGTGCTAACAACACTGTATCAAACAGCCCTCTATTGATCACATCCTACTTTTTTGTGGCCACGCATTTCATACATGGTGCTTATACATTTTGAATAAGAACTTCAAGTACCTTTTGCTTCAAGCGGTTTTTCACCTCTTTTATTCCCATTTTTGCATGATCTTTTGCCTGCATGAAAAATTAATTTAAGTTAAGATTCCCTTTCTGTTTCCAGCAGGGACTACGCTTGATTTCAGTCTGTGGCGAATCACCTTCTCTGATTACTAGAAAAGAAGGAAAAATGGGATCATCAAGTTGAAAACATAATAGCTATGAAAACAAATACAATGGTAAAAGGTTAAAAAAAATCCCTTAAAGGAGCTACAGAGATTTTATTTTCTGCATTTTGAAGGCAGACATTTTTTTTTCTTTTCCTTCGCAAGTCCTTCTGCTCTGTATAATTATTTATCTCGGCAGCCTGGTGACAGCTACCATGAAGAGTCAAACAGCAGCTTTACCGGCTGCAAGATTCAGAATATCTATTATATTTCAGTAGGGCAGGGCCTCAGGATCAATTTTCTGCCTGGGCTGAAGGGCTGAAACAGACTTTACTGTTTTGATAGTGCTATTTTCTAAATCTCTTTTCAGTGGACGCTGTGGTTTTTATTTTATGTCATTTTAAACCTTTGTGACTCTGTTGGCAGCCACCTACCCTATTATAGAAACTATAGTTAAAGCTTAGAAAGGACTAACACAATTAAAAATGAAAAATTAAACAAATCATTCCACTTCAGTGGTTCAGGGTCAAATTAGCAAGCAAGAGAAATCACAAGAACAAACACTTGAGGCTTGCGAAAGATGGAACACCAGGAATTGATGGAATCTTCTATTTTCCCTCTGCTGAGAGCATGAGTCTCTTATAGAAGTGATGAGGGAGGATGAAGAATTTGCTTCTACCCTGCACACTCTTCATTAACCTACAAAGGAGCTGCTCCATGTGACATAGTAATGGGGACACACGTAGGAAGGGTTTGTTGTCAGGATACTTCCAGATCATAGCTCTGGTTCTGGATCTCAGGGATACATGAAACAGCCTGAGTTTTTACATCTCAGGCTACTCTTAAAAGCCAAAGCTAGAAGCTTCCTCTTTCTCTACTGCAGTGGCTGAAGAAACATTTTTGGATATACTTTAAGTTCAAAATGTCATGAACCTGGTCACAATGCAACATAATTCTCAGAGCAAGGAAGCCAGTGGGAAATAGAATAAAAGCCTTCAAGTCACCTCTGCCATGGAGCAGCAGGTTATATCCATGTTTTTGCTCATGTTAAGGAATGGATTTGTTTGGCTCCTGAGACCAGGACCAATACTTACAAACTTGTAGACGGTCTTCATGGCTGGGTTCGCTTTTGTTTTCACAGTATTCAGGATCGCTCCACTTCCTTTCTATAATAAAAATGTCAATCATCAATGAGAGCTGAGGCTAGAGTAGGCCAACACTAACAAAGACCTCTTCTCTTTAATCAAGTTGGGCAACATTTCAGGAGTATTGATGCAAGGAGAGACGCAAGCCCAGATGGCTACCGGTCTACAGTAATCACAGCTGGGGTTATGGCACACTCACTTGGGTGTGTGTGTGTGTTTGTGTGCTCACATATGTGGGTGTGGCAGGGCAAGTGTGTGGACTGAAGAAGATGAGTGTGAAGCTTCTAGGTCCAATGTTCTGTTTAGTGTCTGTCTTAGGTAAGAGTTTCTCCATAGTCACTAGTGATTTTCTAAAATAACTTCTAGTTACAACAGACAAGTGTTCAGGTGTGTTTTATATCTGGGGCTTTAGCTGATATGAAGCTGGACAGAAAATGGGATCCTGATCAACCAGGATCATCTGAAAATATGTTCTCTCTCCTCTTCTGGGCTTCCTGTGTTGTTTTAAAAATCTCTCTGGTAAGCTGCCTTCCTTAATATCTGAATCTTAAGAAAAGAATAAATGACCATGAAAGCCATGGCTGTAGCAGAAACAGATTAAACACACTAAGTCTTGATTGTTTTCCTTAGGGAGCAGGAGGAAGGTGTGAGGAAGGCTTTCCACTGCCTAAGGAGGCAGTGAAGGGAGCTAAAGTGCGCAGGCCCTGTTCCAGAGCTGTCTGTAAGCTTGGGCTTCAGTCTCATCCCTGCAGGCTGTTATGAGAGCTCTTGTGTTAGGATCTGAGGGCCCTGTGCCAAGAGAGGCCTGAATTCTGTCTTCAGAGACCTCCAGTGGAGGTTGGAGGAAGGAGGGAGCCAGGGTAAATAATGGCACATTGGGTGGTGAGCTGTAATGGCTGCACACAGGGAACACGTTGACAAGGACAGTCAGGCAAGGCCAGAGGGCAAAAAATGTCTGACCTGGGCCATGAAGGGGGGGTTAGTGTGGGGAACAGAGAAGAAAATTCTTGTGACAAGCAATATATACAAAAGAGCCCAGAGGCCAGATGCACTCCGGCTGGAACAAGTGGTTATTGTCCCGAGCACAGTGTATCATGGGAGGGGCAAAAGTGAGCCTAGGAGGCCCAACATGGTAGTTTGTGAAGAGCCTGGAATGGCAGGGTAAGGGCCGTATGCTCTGAAGGGCTTTTAAACAAATGTATCACATAATCAGATTTGCGGTGGCCTGGAAAATTCATTCATTCAATTCAAATGGAGAAAGACTGGAACAAATGGGTTTATAACCAAATAAGAGACAGCAATATAATTTTACTGGCTGCAACTTTTAGCACAATTTTTGGTAAATGCTCACATTAAAAATTTCAGGCTTAAAGTAAAAACATTACAATTCAACCTAGAAACTATTCTATGTTATAGACAATAGGAAATTTTCTCCCACTCATTTATTCCATACTGCCTTCCAAAATTACTCAGAATCCTGTTTAAATGGTCCTTTGGAGTATTGAAACTCCCTTTATCAATCAATCAACAGGTCCTTATTGCTCGCTTCTGATTTGCCAAGTGTTGTGTTTGGCCATCCAAGAAGAACAAAGGAAGTCTTTCACGGCTTGCTGCTTACTCTCGGCCAACTGCAGACACTTCCAAGGGACCTGCCTTGGCAGCAGTGCACTTGGCCCTGGGGCGGGGGAGAACACTTATCACATTATGTTGGTGTTGCCTGTTTACGTGCCTGCCTTCCAAACAAGCTGGGAGCACCCCAGGGCAAGGCCTGTGTCCCCACTGAATCCCTAGTACCCAGCTGGTGCCTGGCACACAGTAGGCTCAGTGATAAACTGATGAAAAGGTACGGGAAGAATTTGAATCCTTTAGAGTCTCCAGAAGTCCTAAGTACCTGGCTGCCAATTCAACAGGAAATAGTTCACATGAATGGTGAGGAGACTTAAAAAATATCAAATGAAACTCTCAGGGATGTGTTTTCCATCTTCCCAGGAGCCTTTGGAGTAAAAAATATTGCATAGCAGCAAGAGGGACACACTTTTGGCTTCCCTATGATCATGACAACCATACTAGCACTGGAAGGAGATTCCCAGAAATGTTGTAGGATGACAACATCCCATGCAATAGGCGTTGGCTGGCAGGAAGAGAGGGACACCTCTTATGTCTCCTTTCCTTTGCCAAGAAGGCCTTGCACAGCCCTGCTTTCCAGTTTCTGCCTGAAGGAAGATGGCCTAGCTTTAAGACAAAAGCATCTTCAGCTGAGGGAATAGAGGATTCTGGGCCTTGAGGCAGTCTTGGTAGGTGGCCAGGGAGAGCAGAGGGCTGCCAGGAGCCCATGGACAGGGCTGGGTGGCTCTGAATGGGGTATACTTACCCTGACCGTGGAGAGCCACTGATGGTACAGTTTATCACTGCCTGGGGAAAGAGAAGCCAAGAGAAACTGTAATTTAAGGAGCTGTTCAAATTGCCTTTAGCACGCAGGATATAGGAAGTTCACAGCCCTGCCTCTCCATCCTGTGCTTCCATTCTGCTCAGCCTTCCTCTCTGACAAGGACATATCCAGCATCCCCAACAAACAATCTCTCCATCTTCCAGATCCTTACAAACACTGTTTCTTTGTGTAGCCTCTCTGCCTAGAGACCTCAACAGCCAGCTGAAATGGCATTTCCTCTGGAAGCTTCTTTCTCCTCTTTCCTTTGAACAGCCCCCTAAGCACAGGTAACATGTTCTTTGATACACTGTGAGTCACTAGAGTTGGGTATCCCCATGTAAACTCAAACGTGGCCTTTGTTACAAGGAGGCACTGTGCAGAGCTCTGCTCATTTTATCCAGTGGGCCAGGGAGGTCTCAGCAGGAGACAGCTCTTCTTGAAGCTCAGAACAACTGAATGTCTTCTCCAGGAAGGAAATTCCTCACTGTGGCCAGAACCTTGTTTCTGCAGGAACCTCTCACAGGATGCAGTGAGGACAAACAGCCCTATTCCAACTGGGAAAAAACCTAGGGTCTACTATCCTTCTATATGGGTGCAGTTTTTTTCTTTAGTTACATGTTTCTACCTCACTAGCAATTTCTCTAGAGCAGAACTGGGTCTTCCTTGGTTTACGCAGTTTTGGCCATAGAAGTGCTCAGGAAATGCTTGTTGACCATCAGCCACCATCTGGAGACACTGCATGGTTTTGTTAGCTATGGCATTCTCCATGCAGCATGGGCTGCAGGGCCTGGAACACTCACAGGTAGAACTCGCACTGGCTTTGAGCTGCTCAGAAGATGAGAGGTCCAGATCAGACATGCTCAGCAGTAAGAGGGGCTGGCGGAATGAGTATTATTATTATTCTGTACCCAAACACTGAGACTACAAATACTATCATCTTTACTCTCAAAGGCAGTAAAGGGAAGGAAGGTCAGGTTGGAATTCAGGAAGTATAGTCAGCCACCAACACTTCCCTGGACCTCAAAGGCCTCTTCTGAAAAATGAGATCCTCCAGTTCTAAGGCACCAAGCAATACTTCTCACATTTTTAATTTTTATTTCATTTACTTTTTTTGTTGTTGTTAGTCATAGGGCTTGAACTCTGGGCTTGGGCGCTGTCCCTCAGCTCTTCAGCTCAAGGCAAGTGCTCTACTGCTTAAGCCACAGTGCCACTTCTGCTTTTCTAGTGGTTTATTGGAGATAAGAGTCTCATGGAATTTCCTGCCCAGGCTGGCTTTGAACCATGATCCCCAGATCTCAACCTCCTGAGTAGCTAGATTACAGGCACCGGCACCCAGCTTAATTTACTTTTTGAGATGGGTTTATGTTGCCTAGATTGGTCTTGACCTTCTGGGCTTCAAATGATCCTCCTGCCTCAGTCTCCCAAGTGCTGGGACTCCAGGTGTGTGTCACTGCACTCAGCTCCACATTCACATTGTAAAGAAACATCTGCCAAGCCCTGACTCTGTACCATGGACTGTCCTGGGAAAAAAGTCCAGCAAACTGTGACTTTATCTCTGCAGGAGCACAGTGAGGTGGCCAGTGTCACTTTTAGTAGCAAACAGACTTGACTTGAAATAGTGGAAATGTCTTGATCCAGATTTTACAGCTGGCCAGGAGACAGGGTCTCCATTTGAATCCAGCTCTCCTATTTTGGTATCTTGTGCTTTTCCCCTGAATCATGCTGGCCACAACATTTAATGTGACTCATCTACACAGGGAGGCCAGACTCCAGAACAGAGGATCTCAGATGGACCTGTGGGCCACACAACGCGAAGGAGTTATCCAAGGCCAAGGTTGAAACCAGTCTTTTCCCACTCCCTCATTAAGGAGGAAAGAAGCCCCTGTTACTCTTGCCAAGTACACTCTAGTCTAGAACAACCTCAGCTTAGAGGGCCATCTACAGTTTCTCACCAGCATATTCACCCATGTTGATCTCCTCTTCAAAGACATCGCTGAAGCCCTCACCAGAATTCAGGAGGTCTAGTCGGCCATCAATAAACTAGAGAGAAAGAAAAAGCACAACAGCTTGTCTAAAGATCTGGGAAGCCATCTTAGCTGGGTACTGCATTGCATGCCCAAAGAGCAGGCTCCCTTTCCAGACAGGAAAGGTCTTTCAGACCTGTGAGTTTTCTGAAAAGTTGGCTGTATATTTATGGTAAGTTAGAAAACCATGCAGTGCATTTGTCAAGGGCCTTGCAGGTGGTAGATACCCACTTCACCCAATCCCCTGTTCCTGGATCTCTCTGGTCTGGGGGCCCTCCTCGCCTACAGCCTCAGTGCCAAGATGGAGACAGCTGCATAAATCCTTGCTGTGGGAGCTAGGTACCTGCTTGAAGAGCTGCAGCTGCGTAGCGTTCTGCAGGAACTGCCTCATGGCTCCAGAGCGATAGTGTGACACGAAAGCCTCCTCGCAGAAAGTGATGGGCTCCTCCTGGGAAGGGGGGAAGGGGCGAGTCAGAGGCATGGAAGGAGGGTGATTGGTCCTAAACTCCCTTTCCCACATCTGTAATTCATCTCATCCTCATTAGTGGAGTCATTCAAGTCTATGGCTGAGGGAACAGTGCCAGGGAGAATGGGTCCTACTCTGAAATCAGAGAAGGCAGGCGGCAGGGTAGGGCCCAACGTCAGATCCTGTCACCTGGAGTATGTGATGGCTATGCCCCAATAGAAAGGTAGGAACATGCCTACCAATACAATGATTTTCAAATGTTTCCTTCCACTTTTAGACATGGAACCCTGTGCTCAGAGAAGGAGATCTGTGTATGGCAGAGCAGTGGCTGGTGTCTGGGCTTTCTGCTTGGTGGCCTTCTTACCCCAGCCCTCAAGGCATTTTTACCATCCTTTAGGCATCAATCATGGAGCACAGTTGAAAATTTATTTACACAGTGATCTTAAGTTACAGCAAATCATAATTCAACCATAATTATTGGATGATCAAAAATAAACTTTACCATCTAGTTGATTGTGCTTAAGCTGTTTGATAAGGGAGTTTATGTCCACCAAACTTTTTATAACTAAGGAAAATGAAACCCTAAGCTTAAAAAACATCCTAGCCTTGTATAGTCAACACCTCTATCTTTCTTTGAACACATCTGGAGTGCTTGTCTACACAGACAGGTCTTTAACTTTGGCAGTGTATTCACAATTCTGAAAGATCTGACTTTTACATCTTGAGCTGAATTAAGGGTGCCCCTCCCCCTTTCACAGACTTGGTAGCAAACACAGGGATGTTTGAAGCTCCACTTTTATCCTGTTTTAATGAGTTACGTGAGTGTTAAATTTACTGTCTAGCTTGTGTTAGGTTCCAAGAGTCTCTCCTGCTTCAATCCAGCCAATATTAGCTCAGAAACCAGGCAGGCTTATTGCACATGCTACAAAGGTGACCCCAAAATATGAGGGTGGGGGGAAAGTTTTATTTTTAAACAATTGTGCCCTACTTAATTTTACAAAGGATGTGAGGTATCTTACACACACACATCCAAGGAAACAAAGAAAATAATGAAGGCTGGGAAATACACCAAGAGATGAAATGTATTTCTTTGGGAATAGTTGGATATGTTGGTCCTATATAGTTTCTAAATTTTAGTTACAAAATTATCTGAGCTTCCTGGCTGCTGAAGCAAGAAGGAAAATCATACAAACTTGTTTGTGTATAAGAAAAAAAGCAAAGCAGTTTCTCAGGGAGAAGAGCTGCTCTTGGCATAAAGTGCCACCTTCATTGCTGAATGCCTGAGAGACCAGCTACTGATAACCAATGGAAGCCCAGCTAGAATTCTACTCCTGTGGCTTATAACTTGAGCTTCTCAGCCTTGGGACCATGGTATGGCAATTAATTTTCTCTCCAGGTAATCTCATCCATACACAGTGTCACTCACACACTGATGGCTCTTGATGCATGTTGTCAGCTGGCACTTTTCCAGATCTCCAATCCCGCATGTCTCTACCCCCAACCTGGATGGCCCACTGACACCTCGAACTCAAAATGGCCCACACTCCCAATTAAGATCCCATCAGGACTGCACCTCAAATCTGTTTCTTTATTTCTTAGTTGTCAGGGCCCCCAGCAACCATCATAAGTCTGTCAGATTTCTCAAGTCCTTCCCATTGTACCTGAGAGGTATCTCACATGCTTTCTACTCCCTATTTGCCAACCACAAGGTGGGCGTAGACCCAAGGTGCCTCAGTGAAGAGGACTTAGCTCCCTGTTCCTTTCCTTTCTCATTCTTTGCAGTCCACCCCAATTCTTCTGGCCAGGGTGGATTCTAAAATGCAAATGGATCATGTACCAGTTCTGAGTGCACAGCTGTCACTTTTATGTGATGATTTCTGTCTGTCTTTCCTACTACCTCAGATACTTCATGTGGGCAGGCATGGTATCTGTTTTTGCTAACTATTACACACTTCACAACATGTGTGGAATAAGCAAGGTGGGTGGGTGGGTGGGAGAGGACAGGAAAAGCTCTTCAGTCCAGGAAAGCAGACCCTTCGGAATGGGGTCTAGCTTTCTTTCCCAGAGTCCTTTGGTATGTGTCCCTTGTTTTCCTGATCGCATTTATAACTGTTACCACATCCTTTCTTCCTTTGCCTAGTTCTATTCCTTCCTCCTGGACTGTCTTCTCAAACTCACCCCATGTGTGGTAATCACTCATTCTTGCTTGGTACTCTCAAAGCCTTGTATACCTCTGGGAACTGGGCTAGTCATCTATCTTGATCAGGAGCTCAGGAGGGCCAGGCCCTCCTGAACTCATCCCTCCTTTCCTCAGGGGTAGCACAGAGACTAGCTCCTCAGTTGGAAGGGACATGGGCTAAAGAACTCCTACCTCAGGAGTCCTGTGTGTGACAGATATACTGCTTGGCTTGACAGTAAAGAGCTCTTAGAGTAAGATGCCAGGTGACTGACACTGGTATCCGGAAGGTTTAGAACTGCTCAGAGGAAATGTTCATTGGAGCCATTAGCATTCATTCCTAGAGCTGTGGCCCAGTATTTCCAGGAAGATGTCTGCAGAGCAAGAGATAAATTCAAGCGAACTTGCAACCAGATTTGTATGTGAGGGTAGCCTGAGGCAGGATTTAGTTGCAAGAGAACAGAAAGAATCTCATCTTTGAGGAGACAGGGATATTCTGAGTTTGTTGTCTACTTACTAGTGGTGACATCCCCTGGATGAGATGTCTGTGCCATAAAAATGGGCAAAAGGACGTGGCCATGGATGGGAAACCTTCAGGGAATGTGACAATGGAGGATTTTACTGAAAAGACCCCAGGAACAACATCAGCTGTGTCAGTTAGACACAGAAACAACTACTGCCACACAGTCCTGTGCCACAGAGAGGGAGCTGACAATGACAAAATGCCTACATGAGTCTGGAAGAGGAGAATCCTTCCAGGCAGCAGGTTAGAAAACATGGTAAGAAATGGGCACATACAGCTGAGCACGGAAAAGTCAACTGGAGTTAGGCAAACAAAGCTTACCCACCATTCAGGGCCCATTTCTTATTAAGTTGATTTATCTCCGTTATATGTTACAGTAAGGGAAAGCTGATCAGCACAATAATTACTTGTACCTTACGTTTGAGCCAGCTTTAAAAACTAATTCATTAGTTATTTAACTGTGCTGAGTTTTGAACTCAGGGCTTCATGCTTGCTAGGCAGGCTCTCTACCACTTGAACCACACTTCTAGCCCTCAGGGCTCAGTTCTAACCCTGCAGAAAAGCAGTGACATTGTTACCCAGCAAAGCCTCCCTTGGCAGCAGATACGGAAGACTCATTCCCTGGAGCAACTCCATCCCAAGACAATGGAAATAATCACATCGGATCTCATGCTGATACAGACTCTGGGGGTAGCACTGTGCTTAAAGCCTTACAATTCTTTCTACAAGTGTGAAAGTTTTAATGAAGTAGGAACTATAGGCAGAGTTTACAGAGGGATAACAGGTAATGTGAGTGACATGCTCAAGGTGACATGTCTTGAAATGGCAGTCAGGGTTGTCTGTATCGGTCTGCAAAGCCCAGTGTTACCAGTGAGCACCTGGCCACTGCAGAGGTGGCTTTGCTCTGAAGCCTCAGTTCTGTTGCATACTGAGCATTCCCTTTTGTAGGTAGAGCCCTTAGATTCACACATACACATCATCATCACCACCACCACCACCACCACCATCCTCATCACCCCATCAGAGGCCAATGATGCCAGGGTAGCAAAGTGCTAAGAAAGCTTTCTGCCACAGGTCAAAGGAAGAATACACAGCCATTTCCCTACTTGTCTATCCCTGGCCAGCAGTTAGCATGGCCACTGTCACTCTGTTCTGCAGCACAGCAGAGTACAGCAAGGAAGCTCGTTAATTCCCTCCTTTGTTAATTTGGTTCTCTTACTGGATTGATAAAACCTTTTGTCTTCTTAGGTGACACACTAGGCTCTGGGACAACAGGCTGGTGGCACTGCTAATCCCTGGAAGCCAAGCTGTGAGCACTAGAGCTTAGACGGAATTAGTAGGGTTTTCCACGTATGACCTGAAGGACAATAGAACAGCAGCTCAACCCTAGCAAGGACTTTGTTACAAAAAGGCAAGTTTTCCTCCTGGATTATCTTCTTGACATAAGGAATCAATTGGAAACTCAACACTAATGAGTTGAATCTTTGTTAACAGGTGAAGTTGGTGATTCCAAAGGTTTCTGAGACTTCCAGAAATAAATGATTTTTTATCCACAGCCTTGTCAGTACTGCTGTTAAAAAATACAATCTCCCATCAACTTCTTCAGCAACTTTCCTTATTCTGCTGATTCTTACTAAAGCTATTAAGTCCTTATTTTATCCTTTAGGATTTTAATTTTCTAAATAAAAAATTCCATATACACTCAGTGTGAGGTCCTAAGGAGGGTGAGAGTATCTTCTCCAAAGAAAAAAAAAAGGTCCACTTATCCCTCTAAACACCTAAAAGCTGTCTATGTGCCAGTAGTAACTGGATGAATATGCACACGATGCAATGGCAGAATGTTCTGTCCATAGGAAGTAACCTGAGGGTGTCTTTGTGGATAAATAATGAGGTATTTACACATAACAAGTATTTTTTAGCCCTAAAAAGGAATCTGAGGGACTGGGAATGTGGTTTAGTGGTAGAGTGCTTGCCTAGCAGGCATGAAGCCCTGGGTTCAATTCCTTAGTACCACATAAACAGAAAAAGCTGAAAGTGGTGCTGTGGCTCAAGTGGTAGAGTGCTAGCTTTGAGTAAAACGAGCTCAGGGACAGTGCCCAGGCCCTGAGTTCAAGCCTTAGGACTGGTTAAAAAAAAAAAAAAAAGGAATCTGACATATGCCACAACATGGCTGAATCTTGACAACATCACACCAAGTGAAGTAAGTCACTAAAAGAAGACAAATACCATATGACTATACTTGTATGAGGTACCCTGAACAATTAAATTCACTGACATAGAAAA